ACCAAGTATTGAGTACATGTACAGTAAATGAACATACTTCCCAGAAGGCCAACAATTCACTAAAAAAAATTTTTTATTGGTCTTATGAAGTATTCTAATTTGTTGAGATAGTGAATTGGTGGGTTTTTGTTAAATGTGAGCCAAAATCATCACAATTAAAAGAACCAAAGACTTAAAACTACTTCAGTCTGTGTGCATTGAATTTATTTAATACACGAGTTTCACAATTTGAGTTGAATTACTGAAATAAATGAACTTTTCCACATATATATATATATATATATATATAATGTTTTATTTTAATATTTGTTCAGTTGAATTACTGAAATGAACTTTTCCACGACATTCTAATTTATTGAGATGCACCCGTATAAATATACAATAAAAATATCTAATTATAATTCAAAAATCAATATGAAAGAATGTCTTTCAAGACTTTTTTCCATCTGTTATAATAAGAACTTTTCAGAAGGTTGTCCTGTAGAACATGTGATTGGGCTTAGATGTAATCTGTGCCAGTGTCAGTATTTCCTCTATGGATAAACCACTGAATAAATAATCTTTCTAAATAAATCTCTGAACAGCTCTAAAAAATCTGTCTCTTTCTCTTAGATGTTCACTCAGAAGCTGTTCAGGCTGCGCTGGAGCGACACAGTGAGAGAAAGATGACTGTGCTCTTGCCATCCAAACGGCAGTCGCTCGTCGGTCAAACCTCCATGGACACATATACACCTCCAGGTGTGTGTATGTGGATGTGTTTGTGTGCAGGAGCCAGTGAGTAAGTGTGTGTGTGAGACTGTTTTCTTCGTGTCTCTGCAGACTCGTCCTCCGGCTCTGACGCTGAGGGGTCTCTGGGGAGGGCGGGGGGTGTCAGCGTGGACTCCTGGATCAGCAGAGCTCTCCATGGCTCACCTTCCACATCTTCGTCATCATCGTCGCACAGCAACAGCTCTGCCAACGCAGCCCGACTTGCAGAGACCAGCATGCACTCATACGGCTGTAAGAACGTGTGCAAATATTCACATGGCAGCCAATAAACACAGATACTGATCAGTCATATTATAAATTAGTCTTTAGGTCACTTTCAGCCAACTCAGATTTTGCTTTCACCAATATCTGGCACATATCGAATATTACTGGAAGCACAGGAAAAACAAGCCCCTCACACTTAATTCACTTCATATGAAATATGTCTTTTTTGCATCTGATCTGGGCCTCTTTTAAACCTCCCTTATCAAGATCATCTAATTTTAGTTCATTGGTTTCTCATACTAGACTAACTTCAGCCAGTCAGATCCTTGCACTCAACTCACTTTGGCCAGTCAGATCTATTTGCCTAAACCATTTCAGCCAATCAGCTCCTCACGCATGACTCACTCCATATGAAATAAGACATATTTGGCACCTGATAAGGGTCTCTTTTAAACTTCCTTCCCTTATCAAGATCATCTCACTTCAGCCAATTGGCTTCTCATGCTCAAATAAATTTAGCCAATCAGTTCTATTTGCCCAACCAATCTTAGCCAATTAGCTTCTAAAGTTCAAATTATTCCAGCAAATTAGCTCCTTATGCTTAACTCAAACCAGCAAATCATCTTCTTGTGTAGTAAAAAGAGTTATTTACTTGAATATTTACTGCTAGTATGATTGCTATAGGTTAGCTGTCTAATTCTTCCCTTTTCAATTTCTCCCCCAAGTTGGTCCGATGTCTCATCTGTCTCTGAAAAGGTGGGGCTTAAGAGAAATGGGCGTTTCTGCTGAGAATGGAATAGTTGGCAGGCACTCCAGTGACTACCAATCAGATCGCCCTTGGTCGTCTCTGGATTCTGAGGGTCAGTATTTCATGATTCTTTGGACTAAAGACTTGTCTGACATAAAAGGGATAGTTCATAGATCCAGTGTTGTTTGGTTCCCAGCGTTCTTCAGAATATCTTCATTTGTGTTCCACAGAAGAAAGAAAGTCAGACAGGTTTGGAATGACATGAGGGTTAAGCAAATGATGTCAGAATTTTAGTTTTTGGGAGAAATGTCCCTTTAAGATGAAAGCAGACAAGAGTTAATTTTTACTGTGTGCGCATTTGCATTTGGGTCCACTTGTGTATTTTATCAACATATTATATATCAGTGTCAATAATGGCATTTGCTTCTAGTTAAAAGGCTTACCTCCACAGCACTGTTTGATATGTACTGTATATGCTTTCATTTTAGCTGCACATGCTTTTGCATCTCATTCCTAATAACTGATAATGAATCATCACATTTATTGGGGTAAATGTTACTATACTGATTAGTTAACCTGTTTGTTTGTGTACTGCAGACAGTCTGACGGCCCCTCCTGACATCACCAGCTACATGCCAGACCCCGCCCCCATCTCTGTTCAACGCCCACAGGTCACCATGATAACCAGGCCCCTGCCCAAATATGGCAATGCTGAGTTGATGGAGACAGGAGATGGTGAGTGTGTGTGCAGAGGTCTGTTTTTAAATGTGCATTTATTCTGAAATGATCAATTTTGCCATCTATTTTTTATGTTTGGAAATTTTATTCAGTGTGCATGGAATTCAGTTAATTTAAAATGAAAACAAACCCAAAATTTATTTAATCCAGATTTGTTTTCTCATTTTTACCATTGTGAGAATTTATATTAGTAGTATAATTGCATATATGTGTATGTAGGTGTGCCTGTCAGTAGCCGTGTGTCGGCAAAGATCCAGCAGCTAGTTAACACGCTGAAGCGACCCAAGCGAAGACCCCTGAGAGAATTTTTTGTGGAGGATTTTGAAGAACTTCTGGAAGGTTAAAATGTTTTCCCCTCTCTTTGTGCCTCCTTGTTCGATTTCGAAGATGAATATAACTGTAAAAGTCAATGAATATGAATACAGATGTTTGAGTATCCTGCACCAGTTCACAGAAACACTTTTACAGTTACTGATAGGTCGAAGGTCTTGAAATTCATTACTTTCAGATTAAACGCTCCACACCCTGCACAGAACAAGTTAATTTGATCCAACTATTTTTGCATCGATCGAGGTGAAGTGCTTAAAGGGATAGTTCAACCAAAAATCAAAATCCTGTCATCCTTTGCTCACCCTTGTGTTGTCTTTTTTGACATCTATGATGTCATGAGAGTGAGTAAATAATGACAGAATTAAATGGAACAAGATTTTTTGGTAAACTATTCCTTAAAATTAATGTAATATGAATTCTGATGATATAAAACATAGGTCTCATCAACATGCAAATGCTTTGCTAACCTTCTCTTGACGTTTGCCATGTGCAGTGCAGCAGCCTGATCCTTCTCTGCCACGCCCAGAAGGGGTGGAGTCAACACCTATACAAGGAGAAGAACTTGACGGACTCAAGAACTGCCCCGCCTCCCTGGAAGCAGCCCTTCTACGCTGGGGAGCCATTGCACCTAAAGCCCCCTGTTTGACCACTACACACAGCAATGCCAAACAGCCGTACACACTTACATATGGTACACATGCATGTAAATTCATAGTTGGGATGCTACAATTCTCAATATAACATTGAACCATTCGGTGTACGACATCCACGGTTCTGTACGGGCTTGTGAATTGCGGGTTTTTCTGTTTTGTGATTAAATCATTTCCGGGACACACTGTGAGTTTGAGTCGCTTATAACGTGAATTTGAAAAAGTAACACACGATAAACATCTTCGCTTGTAATGACTTCTAAGTGTTTCTATATCTGTTGTCCAACAGAATGAGGCAGACAATATATTCTATACTGTAATAAAGGCCATGTCGATTAGCAATGGATTATAAATATACTTAATTATTCTGAAAATACCCGAGATGACTTAAAGAACAGGTAAACTATATATTGTTGCAGTCGAGTGTTTATTGCCTTCATGTTTCAACATTTAAAACATTTCTATCTTGTTTTCATTCAGTTACAGTGATAGTTGTCAATATTAGGGATTTCCTGGAGTGCCATGAGTTCTATTACTTCTGTAATGCATATTTGGAGTTTCTGTGCAAGGGTGTCCTCTGGCTTCCGGTATGAATGAAACCGATATTACATGATGTATACAGCGCTCAATAATGCCCACTTCATCTTATTTTGGGTAAAAATAGGAAAAATATTTATCTCAAAAGAAATTTGATGTGCACATATGATAATCCATGTTTTTGTTCAGAAGTGTACAGGAGTTTTTACAGGAGTCTTTTTTTTTTTTAATAATGAAAGTGTTATTACACTAGTAATTTTTATTTTTTTATTTTTTTTAAACGAGGTATGTATTGAACCGTGGGCTAACTGTATTGTTGCATCCCTAATTCATAGCCATCAATTGGATTTTATTGTCTTTTTGGTGGGTGCATGTTAATATCTCTTTGTTTATGTGTAGGTAAACTCTGGTCCAAGAGTTTGAAGTTGGCCTATAACCTTCTCCATAAACTGGGATCCAAACAAGAGCCAATCATTCACCCTGGAGACAGGGTAAGAGTGGATAAATTGTATTTAAGTGTTGTCTTATGTATTTTTCTAAAATGCACACTACCATTCAAAAGTTTGGTATCAGTACAATTTTTTTTTTTTTTTAAAGTAATACTTTTATTCAGCAGGGATGCATTAAATTGATCAAAAGTGACATTAGAGTTACAAAAGATTTCCATTTAAAATAAATGTGATTCTTTTGAATTGTCTAATCATCAAATATTCCTAAAAAAATGTTTCCACAAAAATAATAAATAACTGTTTTCAACATTGATAATAATAAGAAATGTTTCTTGAGAACCAAGGATCATGTGAAATGAAAATTCCGCTTTAAAATATATTCACATAGGAAACAGTTCTTTTGAATTTGAATAATATTTTACAGTATTACCGGTTTTACTGTAATTTGGATTAAGTCAATACAGCCTTGGTGAGCATAAAATACTTTGAAAATCATTTTAGAAAATCTTACTGACCCCAAACTTTTGAATGGTCATGCATAACTCCATTATAAAGACAGAAATCAGATATATACACATTATACAGACATATATTCAAAAACTGATGAAGAATGAAGACTGTAAATGTTACTGTAGGTAGCATTGGTTTACCCCAATAATGACCCAGCAGCGTTCATGGTGGCGTTTTATGGATGTCTTTTGGCTGAAGTTGTTCCTGTCCCAATTGAAGTACCACTTACAAAGAAGGTAATTTCTACTGCAAAAAAATTCCAGCAATAGTAGCTTAGGCAGTACTGCATATGTTCAAAAGATCTTATAATTAGTCATTATTAAATGGATAGTTCACCAAAAAACCTTTTACAGTTTTACAAACAATTTTATAAGAACAAAATTTGCCTGAGGCATGCCCTCCTGTTTTCGCCCCTCAAAGGATGCTGGGAGTCAACAAATTGGTTTCCTTTTGGGTAGCTGTGGAGTTGCTGTGGCATTAACAAGTGATGCATGTCATAAAGGTCTTCCCAAGAGTGCTAGTGGTGATGTCATGCAGTTTAAAGGTCAGAGATGTCACAATGGTTGTTTGAAGAACCTGCACATGAGTCTTCATAGGAACATTGTTATTTGTTAAACATATATGTGTGTTTTTATCTAGTTTATATGTTTGTGTTGTGTGTGTGTGTGTGTGTGTTCAGGCTGGCCAAAGTTGCTCTGGGTGCTGACTGACTCCAAACATTTATCTAAACCCCCACGAGAATGGTTTCCTCTCATTAAAGATGCCAACAATGACACAGCATACATAGAGGTAACAGACCATGTGATTATGTGTCAAATCCATTTAGTTGTTTCTTAAATATATATCATCATTTATTTAATGCTAATATTAATTAAAGATAATATTTTTTTAATAATACACTACTGCTCGGAAGTTTGGGGTCATTAAGATGTTTTTTTTAATAACTGAATACTTCTATTAAGGAAGTACACATTCAGTTGATCAAAAGTAACAGTAAACATTTATTATATTACAAAAGATTTCTGTTTCAAATAAATGCTTTTCTTTTGAACCTTCTATTCATGGAATAATTGAAAAAAATGTGTATCATTGTATCAAACTGATAATAATAAGAAATGTTTCATGAGCACCAAATCAGCATTTTAGAATGATTTCTGAAGGATCTTGTGAAGACTGGAGTAATGAATGCTGAAATTTCAGCTTTGCCATCACAGGAATAAATTACATTTTAAAATATATTTTAAATTATAAAAATATTTTACAATATAAGTGTTTTACTGTATTTTTGATCAAATAAATGCAGCTTCGGTAAGAATAAGAGACTTTTTTCAAAAACATTAAAAATGTACTGACCCAAACTTTACAGTAGTGTGTGTATATAAATAAATAAATATATACTGTGTATATATACAATTTTAAGTATTTATTTATAATATTTACATAGCTTCCCAAGTTCAAGGCTGCTTAATATGCAAGGGGGCTTGTATTGTAGTTCTTTGGCAATACAGGGATCTCATTGCATTTATAATGAAAGTGGCAATGTTTCGTGGTTGATTGACAGTATAAGACCTGTAAGGATGGGAGTGTGTCACACATTACAAACGACATAACCAGGCCTATGTACATTCATACCGTACACACAGACACACAAAACTATTAAGAAATACATCTGACTCAGATTTTAATGTCATGTAGTGAAAACTTCTTGGTTCTTAATCATAAATTAAAATACATTTAATTGTGCTTGTGTGAGGTCTAAGTTTAAATAGTGTTATCAGACGGATATTGCGCTAGACTTTGCAATATCGCCATAAAGTCTGGTTCACATTGCCAAGAATTGCCCAAATAAACGAAAAGGACGCCTGACCAACATGTAAAGTTACTAACCACTTTTCAGTTTATATGTGTCATTTGTAGGCTGGTAAATCTGAAATCAGATACTACCCAAAGTGCAAAATGGAATATAGAAAGTGTGATTGTAGATATCTCAAACAAAACTATCGAATATCTCTTGCGAGATAAACTTAGGCAAATCTGGTTGATAATTTTTTCTCGGAAGCATTCATGATAGTAGAGATTAGGCTTGCCGCGATAGACGGTGCTGACGGTTATACCGGTGTTAAGCCGTTACGTCACTTGCCCACCGCGTTGTTATCAGACGGATATTGCGCTAGACTTTGCAATATCGCCATAAAGTCTGGTTCACATTGCCAAGAATTGCCCAAATAAACAAAAAGGACGCCTGACCAACATGTAAAGTTACTAACCACTTTTCAGTTTATATGTGCCATTTGTAGGCTGGTAAATCTGAAATCAGATACTACCCAAAGTGCAAAATGGAATATAGAAAGTGTGATTGTAGATATCTCAAACAAAACTATCGAATATCTCTTGCGAGATAAACTTAGGCAAATCTGGTTGATAATTTTTTCTCGGAAGCATTCGTGATAGTAGAGATTAGGCTTGCCGCGATAGACGGTGCTGACGGTTATACCGGTGTTAAGCCGCAACACCGGTTACGTCACTTGCCCACCACATCACCGACCCCCACCGTCGTTTTGATTTTTTATAGTAATAAAAATCATTTAGTTCAGTAAAAGAACAGACACTACAATTAAAAACTGAACGCGGCTGCTCAGTGCAGCATGCCGAACGACAGTAGCATCAAGTAAAATGCGCACGGCGCTTTTAAACTATGGTATAAAAATGATATCTTTATGTAATAGTTTCATTAAGCAAGGATGCATTAAATTGATCAAAAGCGACAGTAAACGCATTTATGTTGGAAAAGATTGCTATTTCACATAAATGTTGCATAAAAAGCACAAGAGACTTCTTTCAAAAATATTTTAAAATCTTATCAACGCCAAACTTTTTAATAATAGTATAGATTATAGTTGAATCTTATTAAAATACCATGTGGCTCCTCGTGTTTTATGCTTTTATGTTTTATGTTTTGTGTTCTTTTGGTGACACATTCAATGGGATTTTTATGGGTGCAAATGCAAGAATTTGGTGGTAGAAAATAAATAATGATATAACTTGCACAAACTTTTATTTAGGACTGTGAGAATGCCAAGTAATATTCACACCAGCCAATCAAACCTCTTTTGTCACGGGTTGTAGAGCTTTTGCAGCTCCAGGATGCAAAACCACACAATTCTGTATTGTTTATGAAATCTGGAAAATATTGTGTCTATGGTAACATAATATTCTGGCAACACATATGAACAAGTTTATTCTTTCATTTATTTGTATGCATGTGTTTTCTGTCAGGCCTCAGGAGGGCAGCTCTAAGCCAGCAGGCCAAGGAGTCCTAAGTATGACGAATCTGAGTCATGGGGTCATCAGAGTGGACACGGGAGAGAAGCTGTCCGTCCTCACCCTACAGGATGTGGGCACAGCCATGCCAGGAGGTGCATAGATTATGAAAACATGAACGAATGAACAACCCCAAAGCATTTTGATTTAGGTCCAACATCTACCTCATAAACCAGCCTAGAGCAGTTCTGCACTGTTTTCCTCATGTGACCACAGACCTCATCAAACGACTTTATGGTTCTCGTAAAACTGACTTTTCTCTTTCTCTCTCAGCAATGGTGTGTGTTGTTAAACTGGAGGGTGTTCCTCAACTGTGTAAAACCGATGAGATTGGAGAGATCTGCGTGTCGTCTGTTGCCACGGGAACGTCATATTATGGGCTTTCAGGAATGAGCAAGAACACATTCGAGGTGTGAAAATACATTATAGACTGTATATACACTGTTTCATTATGTTAAGATTCACTGACGTTCAAAAGTTAGTTTTTTTCATTCATAGCTATTCAACAAGGACATATTAAAGTGATCAAAAGTGACAGTGAAGACTTTTACAGAGTTACTAAAGGATTCTGTTTCAAATAAATGCTTTTTTTTTTTAAGTTTCTATTCCTCAAAGAATCCTGAAAAAAAATGTATTACGGTTACTACATAAATGTTAAGCAGCACAACTGTTTTCAACATTTCTAATAAGAAGAAATGTTTCTTGAGCACCAATTTTCTTGAGCAATTTTAAAATATGTTCAGTGTTCTTCTTTTTAAAATATATTTTACATTTTTAAATCTATTAAAATAGGAAACAGTTTTTTTTTTAAAGTGTAGTAATATTTCCCAACATTACTGTTTTTACTGTATTATACATATTCTAAATACAAAAATATATTTATTTAGATGCAAAAATGTATTTATTTATTTTTACAAATAAGTTTTGTTTTTACAAATGAATTTTGCAGTCTTGGTGAGCAAGACTTTTTCAAAAACATTAAAAAAATCTTACAGACTACTACCCAAACTTTTGAACAACATTGTAAAAGATCTTTATTTTACTGTAGTAAAGTAAAAAAAACACTTTAGCGCATCTGAAGCTGGTTTAACATGGTTTCTACATTTATGCATTTGCTAGACACTTTTATTCCATTGTATTCAAATTTTATTTTAGTTGTTTCTGGTCCAAGCTGGTCATTTATAGTAATTAGCTGGTTCAAGCTTTTTTGATTAAATGTTGGTAAATTTTAAGTAGAAAGTGTGTGTATCCTTCTATTTAGTGTGTGTGTCCTGTCAGTCAGTAAATTAGTTTGTGTCTCTGTGGTGCAGGTGTGTCCAGTGGCATGTGACGGTGGATTTGTCAGCGATTGCGTTTTCGTGAGGTCAGGTCTGCTGGGGTTTGTGGGTCCGGGTGGGATGATCTTCATCTCTGGTACACTTGAAGGACTGATGCAGGTCGGGGGTCGGAAACACAGTGCTGATGACATCATCGCTACCGCTCTTGCTGTTGAGCCCATGAAGTTCATCTATAGAGGAAGGTATGTATGAAAAAAGACCAAAATAATAACCAACCAATACTACAGTATTGCCGCTGTCGCCTATGGCTTGCTTAGTTGGGGACACTTAATTTCCAGCGATATCATCGACTTGATTGCAAAGATACTATTTAAACTGAACTGAGCTGGATGATGACATCACTGAATTCAATGATGAACTGCCTTTAACTGAAAATTGAGTGTTTACCATTGTAATTTTGCATTAATGTCACACTATTTTCCTAATTAATTCTGTACAGTTGCTTTGACACAATCTGTATTGTTAAAAGCGCTATATAAATAAAGGTGACTTGACTTGACTCTAGAAAGAATCTTGTTTTAAAACCATCTGAGTAATCCCTGTGCTCACTGTGTGTAGAACGGTGGTGTTCTCAGTGAATGTGTTGTATGATGAGAGGATTGTGCTGGTAGCAGAACAGAGACCAGATTCAACTGAAGAAGAGAGTTACCAGTGGATGAGCCGAGTGTTGCAGGTACACACACACACACATAACCAGGCTCAAAGTTTGCATTTTTCTGTTCTTGCAAAAAGCAAAAGTGCTGCACTAAGCAACAAAGTCACAGCCATATTTATTAATATTTAATGTATAGTTATATAGGTGAAGATTTTGCACCAATGAGATTTCGCTGTGGGTGTGGCTAGGCCTGTCGCAATAATCAATATATCGACTTATCGCACAATATATGTACATGACCTCAATAATTTTTGGTGACGCAATATATCGCCCATTATATTTACTTAAAAATTAATGTCACCATGTTTTTTACATTCCACTTGTGCGTGTGTCTCTTTCAGCTTCTCGTATATAACGTGGTGTAGTTGGTGCTAGTTCAAATTAAAAAAATGCTTCTACAAAAAAAAAAAAAAGTTTAATCTGCAGATATGGCCTTGTTTAGGGATCTGTGCCTTTGTGCATACAGACATCTGACTGCTAAGTAGTGATTGTGTTTTTCAGCAATAGTGTGCACCCTTAATTTACAGAGAAAAGAAGGTAAGGGAAAAATCTGTAGATGGAAAAATCTCTATACAAGTTTTTACATTTTCCTTTTTTTGTTACTTTGCACTTTTTGTTAGAAAATGTTTATTTACTATTTATTCAAGTTTTTTTTAAGGCATCTAATATTTTGATACTTGATCTAAATATTCTTAAAAATTAAAAGTTTGTTGTCATTTGGAAGTGTGTAGGCCTTCTTACATTATTATGCTGTGACATTATGATTATATATTCAGTGGTATAAAATGGTCTTCAAAATGACAATAACATCGCTTATCGTTATTTCTGGGGCAATATATCGCACAACAAAAAGTTGTTATCGTGACAGGCCTAGGTGTGGCAACCCACCACAACATGACTAAAATAGAAACAAAGCTAGCACCAACAGATCTTATTGCATTTCACCTGTTGCAGCGTCGCTCATAATGACAAAAACTATTATTTAAATCAAAGAAAGATAATTTATTGCTTTATTGTGTCGTGCCAGGTCTGGACATACTGTAATTCTTTTTGCAAAATAAAATAACAGAAATTATAGATGAAAAATTATTTGAAATGAAAATGACTTATTTTTGTATTCTATAATCTTGACTATGAACTTCTGAATGCCATAAAAATGTATAAAAAACAAATATATAGTTTAGTCATGAAACTCTAGATGGCGCATTCTGACGGGGTGTTAACGTAACTGAGGATATTCAGAGAGTTAAACGACTTGGCACAAGCTGATTGGTTCATGCTGCATATGCAGCCAATGAGCTTATTGCCTTGCATTTATATGGCTGGCTAGCATTCACTTGAGATTCCTGCAGCGCGCTTTCAGAGTTCTCTGAAACCCTCCACCTTCCCCAGCTCCACCTGTATAGATCTGCTACGGGGTTATTTTATATGCTATTTGTGCAGCAGCAGCATGTCTTAAATACTCATGGCACCGTATCGCCATATGCATTGGCAGTAGCAAGTTCCTGTACTTGCTTGCAGCAGCAGCAATAATCTACAACTACAGCAATAACCAACAGCAGCAGCAATTCAGCAGCAGCGTAGCAGATCTGTTCCGCCGAGACCAAATGCATTAACATTGTCATATCCATCACCATGCTAAAATGTTCAGAGAGTTGTCATGATTGAATTAAGGTTATTAATAATGAATTAATTTTGAAGAGTTCTCTGACCAAACCTATGTGTGTGTTTCTGTGTTTAGGCTATAGATGGGATTCATCAGGTGGGGGTGTACTGCCTGGCATTGGTTCCTGCCAACACCCTCCCCAAAACCCCTCTGGGTGGAATCCACCTGTCTGAGACCAAACAGCTGTTCCTGGAGGGGGCGCTACACCCTAGCAGCATCCTCATGTGTCCTCACTCCTGCATCACAAACCTGCCCAAACCCAGACAGAAACAACCCGGTACACAAGCCTTTGTGTACAAGCCTTGTTGTAGAGCATGCGTGTTACATAGAAAATAATGTGTAAATATTGTGTGTATTTGTTGCAGAGGTGGGTCCTGCCTCTGTGATGGTGGGGAATCTCGTTGCAGGAAAGCGAATGGCTCAGGCCAGCGGACGAGACCTGAGTCACATGGAGGACAATGAGCAGGTAATCCAGATATTAGGATCTCTTAGTGCTAAACGATTAATCAGAATAAGACCAACATCGTGATATAAAAGGATGCGATTTAATTAAATAAATATATGCGTGTTCAGAGTGAAGTGCTGCACTGTGTTCATTTATATGCGAACAGCTCATGATTCAATGTTTTCATGTCTTAGAGCGGCTCAGTTCACAGTAAATGATGCTCCACACAAACTTCATCTCTGCATGTGTTGTGAAATTGGCTCGCTTATAACATGCATTTGGAAATGCAAAGTGCACCAGCCATTTACCAGATTTGTTTTGACAAGTGTTTATAAACCAAGAAATTAGAAGCTATGAGGGCCGCCTGCAGTTGTATTGATGGTTTAACATTTGAAACTGAGGAATTTAAGACATACAATAATTTTATTAAAATTATCATTGTTTTACCTCAATTCTTGGTTCTTTTAATAATGAAATAGTATTTTTGCAGCAGTAGTGTTTCTGATTTTGCTTAATATTTTATTTAATAGTATTTAATAATTGTGCAGCCCTACAAAAAAGCACAGCAAACCTGGAGCTCTTTGAAAAAATTGGAATTTGAACATTTGCAATTACTTTTTTCCCTCAAAGCATACAGCTCTAGGATCTCTTGTTTTTTTGTTGTTGTTTTTTTGGAGATGGGAAGAGTTAGCCAAAAATTGGAATGAAATCATAAAGTATGTCTGTGTAACAATTTCATGTGACCTCCTGTAAAGGAAAACTTGTATAGGGCATATGAGTGAGTGTGAGTATGTGTCTTTTTCACTCTGACTGATTATTTATTCTCTTGTGTGATTTCTAGTTCCTTTTTCTGTCGGAGGTGCTGCAGTGGAGAGCTCAGACAACACCTGAGCACATATTGTACACACTTATTAACTCACGGGTAACGCACATATATTACTTTTCTCAGTTTCCTTTCAGCAGTGAGTGTTAAGAAAATGATCAAAAATCTAATTTTTATGAATTCAGGTGTGTTATTGTGATTATAATTGTATTTGTGTATTTCAGGGGGCAATAGGAAGCTCTCTGACCTGTCTACAGCTTCACAAGAGAGCAGAGAAAATTGCAACTTTGCTGTATGAAAGAGGACAGCTACGAGACGGAGACCATGTAGCATTAGTTTATCCACCAGGTAACACACAGACTCTGGCTATCTGTGTTAACTTACTTAATTTTAATTTGATTGCATGATGTGCAAATTAATTCATAAAATTAATTGCATTTCAATAATTGATGAGAAAAGCTCCCAAATGAATATACTTTAAAGACAAAGGTACTAAATAGATTTAAAATTTTACCAATAAATCTGCAGTCTGCAGTAATACATCTCTGCCTTCATTTCAGCCAAATTAAGCTGTAAATAAATTATCATAATTTTTGTTGTCAGAGCACTAGTTGATACACTTCACACCAGCAATATGCTGAGCTCTGGTTCAGGGTAGAAATCCCATCTGTAGTTGTTTTTTAGTAGTGCTACTTGCAGCATTTCATTAAATCAGATCAGCTACAGCTTTCAGCCTGTTCTGTAAGTCACATTCAAGAGCTGCCCACTCCAATTAAATCACATCACATTTGCTTAATGAAACATTCCGTTAAACATATCACATTACAATTAAACACATCATAAATAGCAATAAGTAAATGAGTGGTGAATTACATCTTTTTGTTACAAATATAATTCTATTTCACATAGATTTCATGTTTGTGTTTGTTTGTGTTGCAGGTTTAGATCTGATCGCCGCCTTTTACGGCTGTCTGTATGCAGGCTGTATTCCTATAACTGTGCGACCACCTCACCCTCAGAACATCTCTACTACACTACCTACAGTTAAAATGATCCTAGAGGTGAGAACACACACACACACACCCTCAGAACATCTCCACCACACCTGCAGTTACATGAATTAAATTATTAGAGAAGTATTAAAAACCCTACTTAATCATATGTAATGTTCAAATTTATGTTCTCTAAATTATCAACATGATCCAAACTTTGCTGAAAAACCTGTTGTTTTTTTTAGCTTAGGTTTACTTGATCCATGCATCAGTAGTGGGGAAGTAGTGGCCTAATGAGAGTCGGCCTCGTAACCCAAAGGTTGTGGGTTCGAGTCTCGTACCGGCAGGGATTGTAGGTGGGGGGAGTGAATGTACAGCACTCTCTCCCACCTTCAATACCACAACTGAGGTGCCCTTGAGCAAGGCACCGAACCCTCAACTGCTCCCCAGGCCCTGCAGCAAAAATGGCTGCCCACTGCTCCGGGTGTGTGTTTACTGCTGTCAAGTCAACAGTTGCCTGAAATTGTGTGCAAGCCAAAGGTGACAGTGGCAAGGAACCAAAACTCCATCAGAAATGGAGAAAAAAACCTTGGGAGAAACTGGGGGGCCAGTTCTCCTCCAGCTAGCTCATTCAAGTACTAACTTTAGCTGTGGCTCATTTAGAAGGCTGCACCCTCCGGAGGTCGAATCCTCTGGAGGTCGAAGTGTCCTCAACCTAGAATTAAACGAGACGGCCTTCGTAGGACGGGCAGAAAAGGAAACCGGAAGTATCGCGTTGCTATGCCAACACATTTAGAGCATCGTTGCGCTCTCACACTACTTAAATGAAGGAAATTTATTTCTAAATTTGGAAAGTAATTTGAAAAAAAAAATGCTTCGTAGGACAGGCGGAAAAGGAAACCGGAAGTATTGCGTTGCTATGCCAACACATTTAGAGCATCGTTGCGCTCTCACACTACTTATATGAAGGAAATTTATTTCTAAATTTGGGAAGTAATTTGAAAAAAAAAAAAAAAATGCTTGTTATATTTTGTTCAATGTTTGAGGAGCTGCAGCCTACGTACAGCAGGCATCTATTAGAGAAAAAAGGAGGAGGATATTAAAAACAAAGTTTATCCGTTTTTACCAAGGCGAATTAAGGTAAGTTGTAAACACCACATCTGCGCTTGTGTGTACGTTACATCTGCCGGCGTCGGCCTTTTTCAAATTAACAACGGTTGTTCACGGCGACGCAAAGAATTGTGGGTTATCTGTAGCAGCGAAGGATACACCTCATGCATCCTCCGAATTCCTGTGAAAGAAGGTCGCATTCGAAGGTCGCATTCGGAGTGTCCTACTTGCTTTTCTGAAATGAGACAGCCTCGATGACGTATGCAGCCTTCGAATGCGACCTCCGGAGGACGCAGCCTTCTAAATGAGACGCAGCATTTCAAAGGAAAGGTTGCTATCAAATAGCACACCTAGGTTCCTAACTGATGATGATGGAGAAAAAAAGTTGTAATTTGGTACAATAAACTGATTATATCAACCCTTTATAGGGTTAAATCATTTATTAATTATTGTAAATGTTAACCGTTATAGAATAAGATATGGGTCTCAAAACATGACCATTTTTAATAAAAATGTTGGTGTGTGCAGGTGAGTCGTTCAGTGTGTGTTATGACCACTCAAGCCATCTCTAAACTTCTGAAGTCCAGAGATGCATCAGTGGCTGTGGACTTTAAATCATGGCCTCCTATCCTGGAAACAGGTGAGTTTTTGAGGGACATGAGATCTGTGTTCAGAGTTACGCCTGTCAGGTGCTCATCAGAAGTGTCTGTGTGTGTGTGTATTTATTAGATGACTTGCCAAAGAGGCGTTGTTCACTGTTGTATAAGCCATGTGACCCAGACACATTGGCCTATCTGGACTTCAGTGTGTCCACTACAGGCATGCTCGCTGGAGTGAAGGTTTGACTCCTCATACTTGTTACTAATGTTTTATGTATGGACTACAGATGTGGTTATTATTATTATTATTATTATCATCATCATCATTGTTAAAGGGGTCAAATGATGTTACTAAAAAATAACATTATTTTGTGTATTTGGTGTAATGAAATGTGTTTATGCAGTTTAAGGTAAAAAAACACGTATTTTTCACATACTGTACATTATTGTTTCTCCTCTATGCCCCGCCTTTCTGAATCTCGTAGATTTTTACAAAGTTCATCGTTCTGAAAGCGAGGTGTGGTCAGCTATTCAGTGCGTTGTGATTGGCCGAATTCCTCAAGCATGTGACGGAAATGTTACGCCCCTTACCATACTGTGATGCCGTGTCCTGGCGCGGCGAGACTAAACCAATAAAACCCATTATAAACGAGGCATTTGTTGCATCCAGTGGGGACATAATTACTGATTATAATTACTTATACTGTCTTTTTACACATTGCGTTGCATCGCGCCACGTAAACATAAAACCACGTCTGCATTTGGGATCAGAGAAATGACAAACAAGCACTAGTCTACACTGCTCAAAACTCGCGTTTGAATCATCAGTGGTAAATACTTTAAATATGAAAACGTACTTACAGGCTGTGAGTCAGCATTATTTGTCAGCATCATAGACTGTATAGGGTCAGCATGCGCGCCAAAGGGGAAACAGGGGAACTGAATTCACCGGATCACCGGCATTGTAGGCTACTCTCCCAAGAAACAGTCCTCGGCCTCCGTAAATTGCGCTGCACACATCTGAATATTTGGTTTTAACTGTTCTGGAACAGTGTTGTAAATACAACTTAACCACTGATTTCTAGTTGTGTCCTATTTTGGAAGATTTTTCACAATGAAACACGAACACAGCGTCTCCACGACATTGTGTGTGTATTTATTAGATGACTTGCCAAAGAGGCGTTGTTCACTGTTGTATAAGCCATGTGACCCAGACACATTGGCCTATCTGGACTTCAGTGTGTCCACTACAGGCATGCTCGCTGGAGTGAAGGTTTGACTCCTCATACTTGTTACTAATGTTTTATGTATGGACTACAGATGTGGTTATTATTATTATTATTATTATCATCATCATCATTGTTAAAGGGGTCAAATGATGTTACTAAAAAATAACATTATTTTGTGTATTTGGTGTAATGAAATGTGTTTATGCAGTTTAAGGTAAAAAAACACGTATTTTTCACATACTGTACATTATTGTTTCTCCTCTATGCCCCGCCTTTCTGAATCTCGTAGATTTTTACAAAGTTCATCGTTCTGAAAGCGAGGTGTGGTCAGCTATTCAGTGCGTTGTGATTGGCCGAATTCCTCAAGCATGTGACGGAAATGTTACGCCCCTTACCATACTGTGATGCCGTGTCCTGGCGTGGCGAGACAAAACCAATAAAACCCATTATAAACGAGGCATTTGTTGCATCCAGTGGGGACATAATTACTGATTATAATTACTTATACTGTCTTTTTACACATTGCGTTGCATCGCGCCACGTAAACATAAAACCACGTCTGCATTTGGGATCAGAGAAATGACAAACAAGCACTAGTCTACACTGCTCAAAACTCGCGTTTGAATCATCAGTGGTAAATACTTTAAATATGAAAACGTACTTACAGGCTGTGAGTCAGCATTATTTGTCAGCATCATAGACTGTATAGGGTCAGCATGCGCGCCAAAGGGGAAACAGGGGAACTGAATTCACCGGATCACCGGCATTGTAGGCTACTCTCCCAAGAAACAGTCCTCGGCCTCCGTAAATTGCGCTGCACACATCTGAATATTTGGTTTTAACTGTTCTGGAACAGTGTTGTAAATACAACTTAACCACTGATTTCTAGTTGTGTCCTATTTTGGAAGATTTTTCACAATGAAACACGAACACAGCGTCTCCACGACATGGCGGTGGCGGCAACAATACTACAGCGATAATCAAAGTTACGCCGCCTTTCTTTGCGTATACATTTGGGTGGTGTTATGCAAATCTTCCCACACAGTGACGTAGACATGTGGGGGCGTGTTTAAACGAGGCGATTTAGGAGGGCGTGGACGAGTCTTAACTTTTCTAAAGAATATCTTTTTGGGTTTGAGACTTTAGTCTTTGCAACTTTAGGGATCTTATCTATTCACAAACAGCTTGTAACACTCCAAAGAGAGAGGAAAACGTCGCATCATATGACCCCTTTAACAATATTAAATTAAAATTGCATTTAAAACTTATTAAAAAAAACAATCATTTCTGATTTTCTCTCTTTCTCTGAAGATGTCTCACAATGCAACCAGTGCCCTATGTCGCTCTGTTAAACTGCAGTGTGAGTTGTATCCCTCTCGTGAGGTGGCCGTGTGCCTTGACCCATACTGCGGCCTTGGCTTTGTCTTGTGGTGTCTCTGCAGGTACGGACCACCTGTGCACTCACCTGAGATGCACACACAGATGCAAACACAAATGTTAAGGACATTTTCATTGGTTAATGTGTGTGTGTGTGTGTGTGTGTGCAGTGTGTATGCAGGGCAGCAGTCTGTTCTGATCTCTCCAATGGACCTAGAGGTGAATCCTGCTTTGTGGCTGCAGTCCGTCAGTCAGTTTAAAGTCCGAGACACATTCTGCTCATATTCTGTGATGGAGCTCTGCACGAGATCTCTCAGCTCTCTCACTGACTCTCTAAAGGTACGCGCACACACACTCACACAGAATTTTAATCTGCATCTCGTTAAACAACATTTTCGTTTAGTTTTTGTTTCAACAAGGCAGCATTTTTCATTTTATTACATTTTAACTTGATGTACTAAAAATAACTAAAACTGAAATAAAAATGTATACGAAATATATATACATATTTACAAAAAACACACAACAAAAGCTTTAATGAAAATGAAAAAAATTTACAAATAAAAATGAATTCAAAATATTAATAAAAGTATAAGTAATAGTACCTTAGTGATACTAAAATATCAGTGCTTCCTATTTCACCCCTGTATTTTTGTCTCTCTCTCAGGCCCGTGGGATGGATCTGACCCGTGTGCGTTCATGTGTGGTTGTGGCGGAAGAGAGGCCTCGCGTTGCTCTGACACAATCCTTCTGTAAGCTCTTTAAGGATGTGGGGCTGCACCCGCGTGCCGTCAGCACTGCCTTCGGCTGCAGGGTCAATCTCGCAGTCTGCCTACAAGTCAGTATAGGCCAGAATATGACCCATCTGATTTCATACTCTAATTGTTCAGTTTTTTTCCTTTTACTAGTCATGTAACTCATTCAACCTTCTATCTTGGTTTTTTATTATTATTATTTTGTTTTCTTTTTCTGTTTTTTAATTTACTTTTTTAACTTTTATACATCACATCTTCCTCTCCTTTTGTAGCCTCATAGGTTGGGGAAGCTTGCTGAGCAGGTATGACTTAACTTTAACTGATCCTCATCATTTCATAGCTCTGTTACTACAACCATGTTTAGATGTGGGAGTAAATTTATTAATTATCATCCTGTGTGTACGAGTACTCATTTTTGCGAGCCAACTAGTTGTCAGAGTCTTAACCTCACCTCAAATGACTTGAGTGGTCCACACAGCTGATATGGTGTGTGTGTGTGTGTGTGTGTGTGTGTGTGTGTGTGTGTCAATCAGTTGGATTTAAACTGTGTGTGAATCATCATGATCTGTTGTTTATGCTGATATTTGCTTTCTAAAAATAAGTTTGAAAATGTTGTAGGCAGCATTAGTGCTGGGCGGTATGACCAAAAATTGATATCACGGTATTTAAAAAAATTGTACCGTGTGTGTGTGTGTGTTGGTGTGTGTGTGTGTGTGTGTGAGGGAAATGAAAGCATGTATATTTCCAGACTCTAGAGTCATGTCGCATTAACATTTCTGATTAGTTTCAGCATAGTTTACAAAAAGTGAGCACCAGCACAGTTTACATTATTTTCATTGTTGCATAAATCCAAATATATTTGGCCATTACATATTATTATTATTATTATTATTATTATTATTATTATTATTATTATTATTATTATTATTATTATTATTATTATTATTATTATTATTATTATTATTATTATTATTATTATTATTATTATTATTATTATTATTATTATTATACAAACAAATATCTCACAGCTGCACTGAAACAGGAGTTTTCCTCCTTCTGGAGGATGGATGCCAACAGTTTAACCTGTTTGGCATAAGCTGTTTTTGACCATAGTTATATTATGTGGAAATATATAAAAACTAGTGCTGTCAAACGATTAATCAATAATTAAATTAATTAATAAAAGTTTTTGTTTACATAATATATGTGTGTGTGCTGTGTATATTTACTATGCATCTATAAATACACACACATACAGCATCGCAATTATTCGTTTGACAGCACTAATAAAAACAAACAAAAACATGCCTTTAAAGTGCTGGCTTTCACTGAGCGATGTAGCCTATTCAAAATGCGGTTGGAATGCCCCTGTATGTCTTTGTCTTGTCTTTCTATATGATATAGTTAAGCAATATCACACAAGCAAGCATGCTGTTTTTCCTGAATGTTTAGTTTCATATTTAAAGTATATTTTCATTTTTTATATGTATTTTATATTTCAATATTCAAAATATTATTTTAAAAACCTTAATCTCATAGCATTATTTATGCAATTGTAATTGCAGTGTTAATATATCTAAATGACACTTCAGATGCCACTTCTGCAGTGCAAAGTTGGGATTTGTTGATGCTACTTTCATTTTATTAGTAACAGCCTATAGTGTCTTATTATTCTAATTTAATTTATTAGTTCTAAGAATTTGACAAAAAACATGATGCATACATCGAATTGCCCTTATGAAGGTAAAAATGCACATGAAAATCAAATTAAATTATAATAATGAAAATGTGAATTTCTGTCACTACTGTTTACTAACCACCGCACAGAATATAAAAATAAGAATATTCGAGAGTCAGCTGACGCGACAGGTACCAGTACAAAAACAAACTCGGCAAAATATCATCTATTTATCATAATCGACATATCCCAGAAAATATTGGAATATTTTTGTCAATATAATACACTAGGCTATACTATAGTTCCTCTACCTTCCCGGTTCCGCTGATTGGTTGAATCCTCTCCATGCACTATACATTTGTACACTTTGTTCACTTTCAATGCAAGTCGCCTTGATATTAACTGTCTGCCAGATGAGCATGATGATTTATGTTTTCAAGTAAATTTGACTGCCATTTATAGAAGGTGATTTAATGATTGTGCAGGGAACATCAGGACCTGATCCTACGACTGTCTATGTGGACATGAGAGCGCTGAGACATGACAGGCAAGACACACACACACACACACACACACATTTCATTATTTCCATTTTTAGAATTAGTACAGATACACTACCAATCAAAAGTCTGCAAATTGGGTACAAAATTGTGTATGTAGAAACTTTTTAACAAATGATCTGTGAAAGAAAACCCTTTCAGCCTGAAACTAAATATTACATAAATAATATTTTATATTAATATTTAATATTTTCAAAATATGTTTACGATTATATAATATATTTCTAAATTGCATTACAAGTAACGCGAGTTACGTAATCAGATTACTTTTTTCAAGTAACTAGTAAAGTAACGCATTACTTTTTAATTTACAAGAGAATATCGGAGTTACTTTTTCTAATAAGTAACGCAAGTTACTTTTTTTCCAAAATTATTGACTGACAGCTCTCCTGTGCCCATGTTGAGAGAAATCAGATGTTACTGTAGTTCTACAATAAATATGAATATGCATTAATTCATCTCACTCACACACAAAAAAACACAGATTCAGTATTCCTCAAAATGAATAAAAATAATGCAACTCAGAATATGACGCAAACCTGCAATAATTAAATGTTAAACAACACAAATATGCTTTATGTATTTAATCCCATTCTATGAACCAATGTCTTTGCTTCTGACCTTCGATGATCCAGTTCAGCTGTACTAATAACCACAAATTACTCTAGACAAACATTTGTGTGTCTTTTTTTATTGCTGAAATGTGTTGAAATTTCTTCTTCTGCGTTCTACTGTACGGACGTAAATTTACTTTCCCTTCAGCCTGAGGCTTATTCATTTCACTTTTGGTGTGAAAAGGCTTTTATATTTGCCAAAAATAGAACTTTTTTATTTTAAATCAAACAAGCAAGCCCTGTCCAGATTTTAAAAGTAACGCAAAAGTAACGTAACGCATTACTTTCCATAAAAAGTAACTAAGTAACGGAATTAGTTACTTTTTAATGGAGTAACGCAATATTGTAATGCATTACTTTTAAAAGTAACTTTCCCCAACACTGAATATGAATGTATTTTTGTATGATTTATTTCTGATTGGCCATTTCTGAAGTGTGTCTGTCTGTTTGCAGGGTGAGACTGGTTGAAAGAGGATCTCCACACAGTCTACCTCTCATGGAATCTGGGAAGGTTAGTGAGACAGTTCAAAGTTCCTTTATTTGTTTTCTTAAATTAAATGTAAACCATATTCAGAAATGTAGTAATTATTTTTTTTTTTACAGATTTTACCTGGTGTACGCATCATCATTGCTAACCCAGAGACAAAGGGACCAATCGGAGACTCTCATTTAGGGGAGGTTAGACCAATAGCACTCTCTTGTCTATCAGATCAAAAAATATCTTCTCATAACCAAGCGTCTCACTTGTGTTTCTATTTTAAAATGACTGCAGATCTGGGTCCATAGTCCACAGAATGCCAGCGGGTACTTCACTGTGTTCGGAGAGGAAAATGTGCGTTCGGATCATTTCGGAGCCAGGTTGAGCTTTGGAGACACTCAGACTTTGTGGGCCAGAACCGGATACCTGGGGTTCCTGCGCAGGACTGACCTCACTGATGCAAATGGAGGTGTGTGTGTGTGTGTGTGTGTGTGTGTGTGTGTTCAGTCTATATTGTGCTTTTTGTCCCAGAGATATTTGATTTGCATTGAGCAGTGGAGTTGTTTCACTTGTGTGTGTTCAGAAAGGCATGATGCCCTTTATGTGGTGGGAGCGTTAGATGAAGTCATGGAGCTGAGAGGTATGAAATACCATCCCATTGACATTGAAACGTCCATCATCAGGGCACACCGGAATATCACAGAATGGTGAACTCACACACACACACACACACACACACACACACAAAACTATAACAACCACATAATCACACTGAGGCCAGAAGCATACACTATGTAAATACACTAATTAGGGGTGGAAACTTTGTCAAACCAGAAAAGTATATACTGGACACTACCATTCAAAACTTTGGAGTCGGTAAGATTTTTTTTGTTTGTTTTTAAAATGTTAAGGCTGAATGTATTTGGTTAAAAAAAACAACAACTGTAAAAATCTGTAATATTGTGAAATATTATTACTATTTAAAATAACTGTTTTCGCAGCAATTACTGCAGTCTTCAGCGTCACATTATCCTTCAGAAATCATTCTGATATAATGATTTGATACTCAAAGAATATTTCTTATCACTGTTGAAAGCAGTTCTGCTGCTTGCCATTTTTGTGGAAACAGTGATACTTTTTTTGCAGGATTTTTAATAAATAGAAGGTTCAAAATAACACCATTTTTTTAAATAGAACTCTTTTGCAACATTATAAAATGTCTTTACCATCACTTTCAATCATTTTAATTCATCCTTACTGAATAGAAGTATTAATTTCTTATTGACCCTAAACTTTTGAAAGGTGAATAAATCAAAGCATACTTATTTTTACTGGAATTAAATGGTTATAGTTTATAAATAAAAGGTATTTCATATCATTATTATGATTCTTTTCTTTTTATTATTTTACATATTATATATCTTTTAAATTAACTTAAATGGCCAAACCAAAACTAAGATTATTCATAACAACTAAATAATAAGATCTGTGCAACTGTGAAACAGCTGCTGCACATTTAATGACGCTTGAGTTAATAACCCAAGACTTAACACTTTGATAAATTGTACAAATAATTAAATGAGCTACATTCAACATAAACATGTATTTTTACTTGCAGTAACAAGCCTTAATATTCAAGGAAGCAGTAGTTTCCTTCAAATGTCTGTGCACCTTAAACCGGATATTTTATTATTCATGTAGCCGTCCATAAACTTGTTTGCTCAGCAAGATTTTCTACATAATGTTGCTGACAATACAGTAGTTGACCTGAGAGAGAAAACTGACTGCAGAACAAGAGTTTATGCTAATGCCTAGCGTAATTGCATTGCTCAAATTTATCAAAAAAGCAAGTACATTTCAAATTGAGCTTGCAGAGCTATTTTGCATTCACATATTTCCATAGAGTAAAGTTCAAACTTTCTCGCTCTCTCATTCAGTGCGGTGTTCACATGGACGAATCTCTTGGTGGTGGTGGTGGAGTTGGACGGTTCGGAGCAGGACGCTCTAGATCTGGTTCCCATGGTAACTAATGTGGTTCTAGAGGAACACTACCTGATTGTTGGCGTGGTGGTCGTCGTGGATACGGGCGTAATTCCCATCAACTCTCGAGGAGAGAAGCAACGCATGCACCTGCGGGACGGCTTCCTCGCCGACCAGCTCGACCCCATATATGTGGCTTACAACATGTAGAAACACGCAAGCTGATGATCTTAAAGACAGGCTCATTCTCATGAGCTCAGGCACAACAACCATGATTTCCAGCACCTTCTCACTGTCAGCACTTCTGTCAGCCTGTTAACTGTAGATTGAACACCCTCAAAATAGCAAACACACACTCACATGATTCGCAGAGGGACTTAAAAGACTCCTGTAGCATATCTTCAAGTTTTTATTTTCAGTTTTGATTGTGTCGCCCAATATTTTGCTAGTGTTGGTTATTTTTTTAACTTGCATACTAAATGTAATTTAAAGAACTGGGGATTTTATATGATAAATATTGCTGTTGCCAATTAAATTCATGTTATTTATTTGTGTTTTTAAACCCGCGTTTTTTGTGCTTTTATGTACGTTTCTTTGCATGTTGTTTTATGCTTGTCTTTGCTGTTGTCTTTGTTGATACACATTTTTGAATTTGTATTAGTGTCACAAACTGACTTATTTAGCATGTTTATCATTTTAAAGATATTAATGTTAAGTAATTTACATAATTGTTAATTATGTACAGAAAATTGTTTCAGTTTTGTTTTGTCTAGCTTTTGCAATATCATTTTTGTGATTTAATAGTTTAGGCTAACATATAGGTAATTTGATCATGTATTTGAATAAGATCATATCTGCACTGTGATACACATACATATAGACCTATGTGAACTAGAATTTGCATTCTAGCTTCATTACCCAGCATCAGCTGATCTCTCCTGTTTTATGTCTATATCCAGAGAGACAGAGTGAGGGAGGTATGGAAAGAATGACAGAAAGGACATTTGCACAATGTGTGTTTATTATATCTTTTATTTATTTTTGAAGCGTCCATTTCCTGTAAGATACAAAAGCACTTTGATTATGTCACGATGTCTTTTCATATGTCAATAAAATATTTTCAACTATTCTTATGGAGAAAACGTGTCTGACTTGCAAACATTTGTTGAAGGAGATGCACTGCCATCTAGTGAACAAAATGCATTAACACCCGCTCTAATTTCCTATCACATTTTCTCATAAATCACATCTATTACCTATTAATCATGTGAAGAACAAAGTAAAATACAATATGAAGGGAAGGGCATGTGTAGGTGAGTTTTACTGTAACTGTATGCTGAATGGACACGTGTATAAGGAAAAGCCTAAAGTATTAATATTTTGTGATATGATTAGTTTTATTCTTATGAGTCAAACTGATGCTACTGCGTATCAGTTATAGAAATTTAATTATAATAATTATGTAAACATTGGCGCATATATTAATGCAAGTTTTTGGTCTTCGGAATTACATTTTTTGAGATTGATTAGGCGCTTATTAATCAGAGTAGAATTGTATTTTTGCGATAGATAGATAGCTAGATAGATAATAAACTTGTGCTGGCGCATATAATAATCAGTGTGAAGTGTTTCTGCATGTTAAATCCTGTCCACAAGGTGGCGCTAACAGACTGCCTCTGCGCGCTCGTTGCGCCACAGTCATACTATCAGCCATTAATAATAAAATATGTATGATACAATAAAATCACGTATTAGCGGCCATTATAAATAAAAAAATATATATTATAAATTTACAGTATTTATTACAATTATAGTATTTGCACATCTCTTTACTATTTATGAGCTTACATGTCAGTTAAATTGATTATGATCACATGAAATGCACAAAAATATATATATATATATATATATATTGTGCACATCTATTTCCAGGTGGACTTTTAAGGCATTCAAGGATGTGCATTGATCGACCGCTATTTTGAATACTAGATGAGGTGTCTATGGTGGGCACTTCTATGATAATACATTCTGATCGTAAAATATTATACCAGAGGCTGCATTCAGAATCATTTTTCATGCATTTGAATCCTTGTGGGAAATCTTCAAAGCTCTAAGCACAGACATGGGTAAGGTTGTCGAGTCTGTTTCTTTTGGCCTACAGATTTTGGTGTTCTGTTACTTTAAACAAATGAGTTTGCTGTCTAACCTGAGATCATAGTTCTGGCATATTAGCCTGTGTGCTGAAAGCGGCATTCAGGGACACAAAACTCCAGTGTTCACTCCATTAGCTGTAAATCACAGTCTTGCCATGGCCAGGACAGGCTGTCATTGTTCTTTCTTTCGGTTTTAGGCCAATATTAAGTAACATGAACAGGTAAATCGTGAAACTCAGGTTGACTGATTGGCTGACTTGGGATTGGTTGCATGGTCTGTTTGATTTAGTGTTACTTTAGTATTATTTATATACGAATACTTTTTTTTCTGTTTTCTCTATAATTTTAAATGTAAAATTAATTTGGTTTAATGTAGTTTTGATTTTTTCATTTTTATTATTATTTTTTTTTAAATGTCAAATATAGTTATTTTGTTATTTATTAAGATTAGTTTATTTAGTTTAAGTTTTAAGTTTTTATTTAGTTTACATTGTAGTACTTCAAGTTAAACTAAACAAAAATAAGAAATGTTGCTTTGGATGAAATAAAATAAGTTTAAGCTTTTTTTATATTCATTGATTTAACATTTATTTTAAGTACCAAAATTTAATTTTTTTTATGATTTTAGTTTATTTAACTGTAATAACCCTGTTGTCAACGTGTGAAAGTGGATTAATCAAAAATGAAACTCACTTCACACACTCAACTTTGCTATAATCATTAGGCTAGTTTTCAGTTCATGTGTTCGAGTGAAGTGGTCGTTCTGTGTGTTTGTGACAGGAACTGGTGATGTATTGTTTATTTGTGTCAGATGATGGCTGCATATGCTGAAAAAAACCTCTCCTTAGTGGGTGTGGCTTGTTACTAGAGTAACTGCCATAATGACATTTGACTTTATTATTATGACATCACCAACGATTTTAATAGACTGAATCATGCAGTGAAAGAAAACCCACTAAATGCACACACGCACTAGTCTAGGCTTCACGTAATGTATGCGTGTGCTCTGAAGGGTTGTTTTGAATGGTTTTTGCAAAATACTCGATAATGTCAAATTGCACATCGTTAAAACAACAATTACGATATTATCGCAGACGATATATATCGCATACCCCTAGTTTGAGTTTGATTAGCTGGACAACTCTTTCTTTAAGTGGTCGGCCACTACTTCTGAGCAGCATTGCCAAATTCTCCAGAATCAAAATGTCAAGCATTTAAATTCTAAATATTTTTCTTAAATATGGTCAAATTTGAAAAAAAAAAAATATTACATAGACCTATATGTGTGTGTGTGTTAAAATCTTAAAGTAAATGTATCCTAACAATATCTACCACAGATCAGGAAGATCATCTCCAACAGGGATCCTCAAATGATGCCATCACTTCAACTTTCTGAAAAAATGTATATTATTAAATGCAAAAATGTATATTGAAATTTAGTCAAAATCTTTTTTGCAAAATATTCATACTAACTGTAAGAAAGGTGATGCTGCTTCTGAGAACCAATCTAGATTAGGCACTTATGCAAACATAAAATATCATATTTCTGAGCTTCAAAATACTTAATATTTACAAAATAAATACCTCAGAACTTCTGCAGTACATTAGAATACAAAAAAAGGCTCCAACGGACATTTGCAAAACTGTGAAAAAGTGAAAGTGAAGTGACGTAAGTGACCCGTACTGGGAATTAGCGCTCTGCATTTATCCCATCCAAAGTGCACACACACAGCAATGAACACACACACCCCGTGAACACACACCCGGAGCAGTTATTTATGCAAGAGATGCCTTTACTGTGCGTGCGTGTGTGCGTGCGTGCGTGTGTGCGTGTGTGTGTGTGTGTGTGTGTGTGACTGATAGATTTAGTACAGTATGTTTGATTTACTGTCTGATCAAATTCACAAGGGCCGTCAGAGAGTGTGTTTGTTTAGATAGTTCTTCTCTTGTCTCTTCTTCTGTATTAGGTGCTGAGAATATGGCTGGTTCTTTTCCTTGCTTTGCTGAGCTCTAGTAGTTTTTTCATAAGGGGTAGAGGTTTTTAACACTCATCTTCTGCATTGATTTGACCCGCAGCCATCCTCTCCTTCTTTCAGGAAGCACTGTGTTCTTTAGGACAGTATTTCTCTCTCCTCTCTCTCTCGTCATTTGTCTTTGACTGAATAAACTACAACTCGCTTATATCAGCAGATCCCTCCATCGCCAGCCTCATTAATCACTGTCTGTAAATTGCTGTGGGGTGTCAGTCTGTCTGTTCTCACTCAGCAGAGATGCTTGTTTACTTTGCCATTTATCAACCCTATCAAGCTCTTATTGATCATGTAAGAAGTAAATAGATGTTTTTCTTGCATTTAGTTCACTCTGAAAATTCAGCTTTCATTCATTTACTCATTTAATTCATTTACTCACCCTCGATATTCTGCTAATGATTCATTGATGAAAGTCTTTACGAGTTTCATGATTCATGATATATCAGTAAAGTATTGGTTGTTGTCAGCCAATATTACTAATTTGTTGGTATCGGTCCATTTTAAATATATATATCATCTGACGTTGTATGTTTAATTGTGCATGCTCATTCTCATTTATTTTAACATTTAGGTTACCTTTGTAGTCATGCACTCACTTAATACACTTTAATAACACTGATAATTATTACATTATAATGTTATAATATTCACTAGCATTTACAACTATTAATTTTTATTTCTATTGCATGTTTTTGTTTGTTTGTTTTAGACGAAAGAGTGTAAAATGTTAAATTCAGCCTTTTTTTGGTCAGAACATGGAACATCGTAATTGGCTAATTTTAACATTAGTGCATCCCTACTTTAAGAGCGGTTCTTCATATGTTAGATTTTCTGTATATAGCCTATATATATATATATATATATATATATATATATATATATAAATCTTGTGCTTTTTCAGCTTCACCAGTCAACAAAAATAATACCGTCAAATCAACTTCCTGCTTTGAGTCTGACACACTGATTGTCTGGCAGGCTTGCTGTCTGATACTGTACATGCTTCTCGGATAAAAAAAAAAAAACAGCAAATGCTCTTTGTTCTGTTCTTGAGCTCTAAAAATGACAACAACAACAAAAAATCATCTTATTTTATAAAAAGGTGGGACTTGGAGCTCGACCGCATCAGTCACCATTTAATTAAATGAAAAGGTTGGACATTCTGCAAAATAACTCTTGCATCTGAAGATGACAGAATTGTCCTTTCTGTGTGAAACATTCCTTAAAGCAATAAATAACACACATACCGCCATTGGAACTATAACGAAGAGCTGATTTCACAACATAAACTCTGGAAAGAATCCATTTTTGACCTCAAAAGAAAAATGAATTACAAATCAGATCAAGAGAGGCATTCCCAAAAGAAAGAAAGATTGACAAGATTGTTCTTGCTGAATCATCTCAGAAGTGCCTGTGATATCTCACCAAATCATTAAGGAGCTCAAGCTGTCAGTCCTTCATTGAGTTGACAATACAATCTACACCGCTGGTTGACTCATTTAGAGGTCAAATCTATATGAAGTTCTTCCTGGTTGCTATAGTTACTTTCAGAATGAGCATGTCTGTGTGTTTGTTTCTCAACTGGGCAGCAGCATTTTATATGGCAAAGTTGTTTGCTTGCCTAGGAAATGACATTGCTTAACAGATCAGATCTTACACAGATGCACACATTTACGTCCATGCAGATAAATCACACACACACATTACTGCATTTGGTCAGTGTGTTAACATGTCCTCATGAATCAGCTTTACATGTTTAGACAAGCTGCCTGTGTCGTGTCAGAACTGCGCTGTTGAAACTGGAATTACTGCATGGAAGTTTCTGCCTCATTTACGTTCTCATTTTACTTTATTTACGAATCGAAGGTACAAAACTAGTGTATGATGCTACAGAAAAGATATTGAATTATTTTTAATTTATATTCACAATGTGTTTGTGAATGAGACGTTGACACCTAACAATGCTTTCTTAGCTCTTTGAAGACCAGAGATGTGTGTGTGTATGTGTGTTTGTGGCAGAGATAAGACATGTACAGATGCAGTGTTTATAATATCAGATCAGATCAGCTCAGTGTCGGCTGCTCTCTGACAGGCCATGGGAATTAGCAAGCTAACTTTAGCTGCTGTCTGTTCTCTGCGCGTATAATCAGGAAATAACACAGCTTTGAGTCATAGACTGGCTTTCTCCCTCAGGAAAATATGAGAAAGAAATAGAGCCAAAGACAAGTCAGGGATTTTCCATTTGGTTTTCCTGGCATATCTCTCGCTCACATGCTTTTGTGCCACATCTTTCCATATAGGTCCTTTCTTCTTACCACAGCTTACACTACTCCATGTTGAGGAAAGTAAGATGAAGAGCCAAAGAGAGACACATTGTCTACACTGTGAGCGAACAGCATGATGCAACAAAAACTAGAAGACTACAATTCAAACCAAAGAAACTGCCTACAAAACAAGGACGGAAATATTTGTAAATTGAACCAAATTTAATTGGACATTTACGAAAATGATTTGCTTCATGTTATTAAAAAAATAATCCTAATTCTAATCCTGCTTCACAAGGTTGTGAAGTTTACAGTGTTGACAGATTTATTATTGGTAATGAGAACGCTCTAGTTTTATTGCATCGTTCGCTCTCAGTGAGATGGAGAGACAGAGACTGAGAGAGCATGTTTTGTTGGCACCTTTAGTTTGCTGGTCTTCAGCAGTGTAACAAAATGTTCTAGTTAAACAGCCACATTATGTCATTATAATGTGGTCATGTAATGAGGAATGAGAATAAAACTAGTTCATTTTAAGAGTTAGAGAAGTGGAAATTGAACTCCTATTTATATCAGCTCATGACCCAATGCATCGTTTCACTACATGCTGTACATTTAAAGAATCATTATGTGTCATTGTGATCAAGTGTAAAAATATTGATTTGTTTCATTATTTTGAGAACTGTTACTGTCAACTGGTGATGTGCTGTGACTAATGAATGTATTTAAAATATCAATTAAAATAAAAAAATTCTAATTATTCAGTCTGTTTTGTGTTTCAGGTTCATTTTCCAGATGTGGAGAGAGTGGAGTGGCTCAACAAGGTATGTGTGTGTGCTGGAGGGGTTTTATAAAAATAGATCTGAATCTATGCTAACCCAGAAATGTCTCCTCAAGAGTATTAACTCTTTCTCTCTTTCTCTTTTTCGAACAGACTGTGCATCAGATGTGGCCATATATTTGTCAGTTTGTAGATAAACTGTTCAGAGAGACCATTGAACCAGCAGTGCAGGGAGCCAATGCGCACCTTAGTACTTTCACCTTCTCCAAGATAGACATGGGGGACAAGGTACATGCACATGTTTACCTAGCTATCTAAATGAGAGCATACCATAGACAGACTAACTCAGACCCTAAACCAACCCAAAAAGAAAAATACACATGAAATACACGCAAAATCATTAAAAATGACTGCATTTATAAATGACAAATAATTTAAATATAATTTATTAATTATATAAAAAATATTTTAGTCAATTATGTAAAATTATATTAACATATTTATTTATTTATTATAAATGAACAAAAGCACTTCTTAATTTTTTTAAATCTGTTTTTACCGTAGAGGACATACCAAAGTCTTTGATTGTTTTATGTAAAGCTATTTATAATTGAAACAGATTAATCTAAACCCTAAATCTAGCCCTCAAATGAAAACCATTGGCATTTAAAAATGCTAATAATAAAAAAAAAAAGTCAATATTAGCTTCTTTTTACCTTTCTGGACATCCAGAAAGGAAGATTTAGTCATATTATTTGCACAAAAGAAAATAAATTTTCATCTGTCTGCAGCCTCTCAGGGTGGATGGAGTGAAAGTTTATACAGAGAATGTAGATAGACGACAGATTATTATGGACCTACAAATCAGGTAAAATACACATAGATAAAGTTTACCTCTGAGACTCATTGGGCTTGAGATATTGAAAGTCTGTTTATGTGTTGTATTTGTCTAGTTTTGTCGGAAACACTGAAATTGATGTGGATATTAAGAAATACTACTGCCGTGCAGGAATCAAGAGCATACAGGTAAGATACAGAGAGTGTGTGACAAATGCCTGTTTGTGTGTTGCTTACATAAGTTGCTTACATTTGAGTAGGTCCCCATTACCTCTGATAACAGATATCAGAGCGACCACACGTGAGCTTTGATATGAGTTTGAACTGTATGTCAGAAAAGCTTCTGTGCTCTGTTAGATTATAGTCAAGCATTAGAGTTAATGTTCGTCCCTTCTCATATTTGCAAGCAGAAGTTTTTGAATTATTTATATGCGCTTTTTACCTTTAACTGAAGAGGATAGTGGAGATGTTATAGGAAACATAGAGAGGAGAGGTGGTGGTATCGGGAAATAACCCAAGCAGGATTCAAACTCGGGTCAGCTGCACATATAATGTATGTGCATTGTGCTAGTAGTTAATGCATACTGCGACAGATTGAACTGTAGTGCTCAAGTTTGAATCCAACATTTCTCACTTTCATTCTTCTTCCTTATGATTTCCTGTCTTCTTTCCAATATTATATATAAAATATGTTAATACATATATTAAAAATGTGATTAAATGTCATATTAATTATGAAAAATATGACAATCTTACCTTTTTGTTTGTTGTTTGTATTTGTAGCTTAATGGGGTGTTAAGGGTCATCATGGAGCCATTGCTGGGAGACATGCCTCTGATTGGTGCACTGTCTGTGTTCTTCCTCAAGAAACCTGTACGTTAACCACCACATACACACACACACACTATTGTGTCACATGTAGAAGAACATTCTATCATTGTGTCTTTGTGTCTGATTAGTTTTTTTCTGCTACATACCAGGCATTACCTGCCTGTTATTTAATAATAACCCACACCCTTGTAACTCCACTAAGAGTTTTTTCTCAGAATCAGAACACTGCTCTGACCTGCTCCACAGAAACTGTTCATATAGGATCTAAATCTATTCCTCTGTCTCATTCATTCATCTCGTTCTCAGCTGTTCATGTTACCTGGATGTATTGATCCAAAATATTGATGTAAAGAACTTTCTATTCATCAAAGACTCCTGAAAAAAATATAGAGTTTTTTCTCAGAATCAGAACACTGCTCTGACCTGCTCCACAGAAACTGTTCATATAGGATCTAAATCTATTCCTCTTAAACTTGTCTCATTCATTCATCTCGTTCTCAGCTGTTCATGTTACCTGGATGTATTGATCCAAAATATTGATGTAAAGAACTTTCTATTCATCAAAGACTCCTGAAAAAAATATGTCACCGCTTCCACAAAAAAACTTATAGTATAATAAATAAAAATAAAATAAAAAGAAGAAATATTTCTTGATCAGCATATTAGAATGAATTCTGAAAGATCGTGTGACACTGTAGACTGGAGCAATGACTGCTGAAAATTCAGCTTTGCAATCACAGGAATAAATTACATTTTAAAATATATAATATAAAAAAACAGTAATTTTACATTGTAGTATTATTTTAAAATATTACTGTTTTACTGTATTTTTGATTACATATATGTAGCCTTGATGAGCATTAGACTTTCGATTTAAATAAAAAATAAATGAATAAATAACTTAACGACCCCAAACTTTTGAACATGTTAGATTATATCGTTTGCTGTACTTATGGCATTCTATATCCTTCATAAAATATGAACACAGTCTTGTATTTTTGTCTTTTCTTCTATTTTCAAATACCTTAAAAACAAAGTTTGTGATTCATCTCAGAGATTATTAGATTGGTTCATGGCTTGAAATTATTTATTTAACTTTTATTTTTTTAATTCCTATGGAGAGAAAAATGTTTCCGGAACCAAGACCACTAAAAAAGTGGGCAGTTACTGTTGCGTGTATTTGATCAGTGACTTTGTTGCTGCTGTGAAAGATGAACCAGGAACCATTTTACAGGAACCAAACATAAGCATTTGCATATATATACGCAACCTTTATGTATTAAATATTTTAACATGTGTCTGTTTCTCTCTCTCAGTTGCTGGATATAAACTGGACGGGCCTTACAAACATGCTGGACATCCCTGGAGTAAAGTGAGTGATACACGTCAGCCATCACACATCATGTAATCATATTATTATGTCAGTTTCATAAAACTGGAAAGTGGATCAGGCAGCCTTTGAAACACACACATGCTTGTCACATGACCTATTTTGTATTTGGAGGTGGCACAGATAACAGTCTCACACAAACATTATGCACGCTCACTCCAGTCTCAGAAATGCTGCTCTTCCTGTCAGACCACATCAGAGGATCCACGTTTACACCCGCTTATGATTGTAGGGAAATGATGGGGTCTTAATAGTGTGTTTTATCTTAAAGTCCGCCTTGTGATCCCCTACCAACAGTGTGCGTCCAAATGTTGAGTTTAATGTGTTTTCCCAGAGGAGTCTCTCTCTTTCTCTCTCTTTTTCTCCTTTTATAGTCATATCATAGGTGGAGCTGATTTTGTGGTTTAGGCGTGGCGAGATCTTGTCCTTTGTTATATTTTCTCTCTCACACAAACACATACATACACACACACACACGCCCTCATATTTCATGCTCTTTTCTGGTTAGACATCAGTGCTGAAATCAATCTGAATTCTTTGATCTCTGAAGAATAAATTAATCAATCGTGATAATCGTGATTACATGTTCAAGCTGAAATGCAGGTTAATTGTAAAATAATGCTATAGATAAAGTCATTAACATAGCGTGGGCTATAAATGCCAGTACTTAAATGAAAACTGTACTAATGGAGAACTGCTGGGGGAGAATGGAGGAAGCATTATAGTGCTTTAATTTTTCCCCTTATCCCAGTGGCTCTCATCATTTTTGATCCGGAAGCCCCACATTAGTTCAACGCAATATTAAGGCCTCCCAGTATATGTTTTCTCTGATATTTTTGGGTGCAATTAAGACAAAGATACTTGCTTTCCAGCTTTTTGTTCACAGAAACTGGGAGTGTTCATGAATTAATTAACCACAATTAATTTTGTGATTTCAGAAATTTCAGGAACTGTGAAAAAAGCAATAGTTGTTTAGAGGGAATGTTTTAAAAATTATTATTTTAGTTTACATCTTTTTTAGCATTTCAATTGAATTAAAACACTTCAATATATCACTCATAATATTAATATAAATGTTATTATTACTAATGTATTATAATAAATTTAAGTCATCCTGTGACCCCCTTGGAAGTTTACTGAGGCCCTCTAGTGGGCCCTGGCCACCTTAAGAACCACTGCCTTTTCCTAAATGTTTAATTTCACATGGTTCAAGCTAAAAAGGGACTGAAGATGTGTGTTTAGTGGAAGCAAAAAGACATTGAAAAGTGTTTTGTTTCAAATCTGAGCATAAATACCAAGAATAGACATTCAACCAAAAATCAAGCTTTTTTCTGTATACAGAAGTTGTTACTTAGCAGAATGTTTAGGCTACTGTTTTCTATACCGTGCAAATGCAAGAAGATTATAACTGCAGCTATCAAGCTCAATTTACCTAAAAAGTATAATAAAAGTGGTCTATACAACTTGTGAGTTCTTAGTCTTGCCCTTCAAAATATCACACATGTTTTGGGGAAAAAAACATGTCATAAGCTATATGAATTTATTGATGGGTGGATAGATTGAATTTAAAGCACTTGACTGGTTTGTTATAATATTTAACATCACTAATCTTTCTTTCTCTCTCTTTCACAGTGGTCTGTGTGACGGCATTATTCAGGATATCATATACAGTTATCTCGTGCTGCCAAACAAAATCACTATTCCGCTTGTAAATGATGCACAGATTTCCAAACTCCGCTTCCCTATGCCAAAGGTGACACACATGTACACTTCACATACACATGCATACATGTATATAACCATAATATTTATATCACATGTGTGTTTTTGTTGTAGGGTATTCTGCGGATTCACTTTCTGGAGGCCCAGGACCTGGTAGGGAAGGACAAGTTTCTGGGTGGTCTGATAAAAGGAAGGTCAGACCCGTATGGCGTCATTCAGCTCGGTAATCAGCTCTTCAGATCCAAAATCATCAAAGAGACAGTTAATCCGAAATGGAACGAAGTTTATGAGGTAAGGGACTAATTTGTGATTGAATCTGTCCTGAATCTGACATGTTTTTATTTACCATCCCAAGGTGTTTATGTGTGTTTTAGGCATTTGTGTACGATCACCCAGGACAAAATGTGGAGATAGAGCTTTATGATGAGGACCATGATAAGGATGATTATTTGGGAAGGTAATGGCTGTGATTGATCTAATCAATCATCAAATAATTACAAGCAATAATACTTCAGAATTCCATCTTAAAGATTGTCAGGATCTGTGTGTGGATGTGTTTTTAATCATTTGATGTTTCTCCTCATGTATTCTTTAGCCTTACCATCAACGTAGATGAACTAGAGAAGGAACAGAAACTAGATGAGGTGCAAAAAAAATCATTTTTGTCTTATTTTGGTCTTACATCTGCCCAGCTTTATTTTTGAATGAGCTCAAAACTTGTATAGAAAAAATGCTTAAACTATTAGTTCACTCAAACCTTTATGACTTGATTTCTTTTGTGGAGCATGTATAGTAGATTTTTGAAAAATGCCTCTTTTCCAAAAATTAAAGGTACCTGAATAGATGACAAAAAATATTATACATGTGGTATCATTGGATGAGTAAATGCAGAATGTTCATGCTTGAGTGAACTATACGCTTAATAAAGTGTTATTATTATAAAGTATGAAGTTTTGAAATTAAACTTATGATTTCATATAATAAAATATGTTTTCTCTGATATTTTTGGGTGCAATTAAGACAAAGATACTTGCTTTCCAGCTTTTTGTTCACAGAAACTGGGAGTGTTCATGAATTAATTAACCACAATTAATTTTGTGATTTCAGAAATTTCAGGAACTGTGAAAAAAGCAATAGTTGTTTAGAGGGAATGTTTTAAAAATTATTATTTTAGTTTACATCTTTTTTAGCATTTCAATTGAATTAAAACACTTCAATATATCACTCATAATATTAATATAAATGTTATTATTACTAATGTATTATAATAAATTTAAGTCATCCTGTGACCCCCTTGGAAGTTTACTGAGGCCCTCTAGTGGGCCCTGGCCACCTTAAGAACCACTGCCTTTTCCTAAATGTTTAATTTCACATGGTTCAAGCAAAAAAGGGACTGAAGATGTGTGTTTAGTGGAAGCAAAAAGACATTGAAAAGTGTTTTGTTTCAAATCTGAGCATAAATACCAAGAATAGACATTCAACCAAAAATCAAGCTTTTTTCTGTATACAGATGTTGTTACTTAGCAGAATGTTTAGGCTACTGTTTTCTATACCGTGCAAATGCAAGAAGATTATAACTGCAGCTATCAAGCTCAATTTACCTAAAAAGTATAATAAAAGTGGTCTATACAACTTGTGAGTTCTTAGTCTTGCCCTTCAAAATATCACACATGTTTTGGGGAAAAAAACATGTCATAAGCTATATGAATTTATTGATGGGTGGATAGATTGAATTTAAAGCACTTGACTGGTTTGTTATAATATTTAACATCACTAATCTTTCTTTCTCTCTCTTTCACAGTGGTCTGTGTGACGGCATTATTCAGGATATCATATACAGTTATCTCGTGCTGCCAAACAAAATCACTATTCCGCTTGTAAATGATGCACAGATTTCCAAACTCCGCTTCCCTATGCCAAAGGTGACACACATGTACACTTCACATACACATGCATACATGTATATAACCATAATATTTATATCACATGTGTGTTTTTGTTGTAGGGTATTCTGCGGATTCACTTTCTGGAGGCCCAGGACCTGGTAGGGAAGGACAAGTTTCTGGGTGGTCTGATAAAAGGAAGGTCAGACCCGTATGGCGTCATTCAGCTCGGTAATCAGCTCTTCAGATCCAAAATCATCAAAGAGACAGTTAATCCGAAATGGAACGAAGTTTATGAGGTAAGGGACTAATTTGTGATTGAATCTGTCCTGAATCTGACATGTTTTTATTTACCATCCCAAGGTGTTTATGTGTGTTTTAGGCATTTGTGTACGATCACCCAGGACAAAATGTGGAGATAGAGCTTTATGATGAGGACCATGATAAGGATGATTATTTGGGAAGGTAATGGCTGTGATTGATCTAATCAATCATCAAATAATTACAAGCAATAATACTTCAGAATTCCATCTTAAAGATTGTCAGGATCTGTGTGTGGATGTGTTTTTAATCATTTGATGTTTCTCCTCATGTATTCTTTAGCCTTACCATCAACGTAGATGAACTAGAGAAGGAACAGAAACTAGATGAGGTGCAAAAAAAATCATTTTTGTCTTATTTTGGTCTTACATCTGCCCAGCTTTATTTTTGAATGAGCTCAAAACTTGTATAGAAAAAATGCTTAAACTATTAGTTCACTCAAACCTTTATGACTTGATTTCTTTTGTGGAGCATGTATAGTAGATTTTTGAAAAATGCCTCTTTTCCAAAAATTAAAGGTACCTGAATAGATGACAAAAAATATTATACATGTGGTATCATTGGATGAGTAAATGCAGAATGTTCATGCTTGAGTGAACTATACGCTTAATAAAGTGTTATTATTATAAAGTATGAAGTTTTGAAATTAAACTTATGATTTCATATAATAAATATCCTCCCTGTTTCACCTGTGTGTGTGTGTGTGTGTGTGTGTGTTTGGGTGTGTTTAGTGGTTTGTACTTGATGATGTTGCTACAGGAAAGCTTCACCTGAAGATTGAATGGCTTTCTCTTCTCCCTACACCTGATAAACTTGATGAGGTAACATAACACACCTTTTATACATATCAAAGTGATATGGTATGACTTCTGTTAACAATTTCGACTTTACTGATCAAATAACAAATGTACACTACCCTTCAAAATTTTAGGGTCAGTAAGAAAGAAGTCTCTTATGCTCACCAAGGAATTTATTCGATCAAAAATACAGTAAAAACAATAATACAGTAAAAACTGAAATATTGTGAAATAAAATGTCATTTATTCATTTGACCGCAAAGCTGAATTTTCAGCAGCCATTACCCCAGTCTTCAGTGTCACATGATCCTTCAGAAGATGCTCAAGAAACATTTCTTAAAATAATCAATGTTGAAAACAGCAGTTGTGCCGCTTAATGTTTTTGTGGAAACCGTGATACACTTTTTTCAGGATTCATTGATGAATAGAAAGTTTTGTACAATGTTGTGTTACCATAGAGATCACAAACAGCACTGAGCCGGCACTGATTAATGTTTTATGTGTTGCTTTTCAGGTTTTAAGCAGCATTAAAGCAGCTAAAGGTCAGGCCAATGATGGACTGTCATCAGCATTATTGTTGGTGCATCTGGACTCAGCCAAAAATCTGCCAGTGAGCATTAACACATACATACACACATACACACCTACAATAGCTTTCTTACTTCCTTATTTTTCTGTGCTCCACCTTCCCTCTTTCATCAGGTATCACTTCTACTACTACACTTGCCTTGCCTTTTCTCCTTTCATTCTCTGTTTCTTTCTGTTGTCCCACTCTGGTTTCCTGTCGCTCTGGGTAAAGAGTGTTTTTGAGGGACACGTGGGCAGTGGGTTTCTGAGAGAGCGCCGCTCTGCCGGGCTGGTGTTCTGTGAAAACACTTCTGCCCTCTACAGGACAATGTTTGTGAGTCACTCTGCTGGCATTACCATTAGATAGGTCTGCTTGCATTTTACCTGCATTCGGTGCATTAACACCTGGTTATTTCATTTACAAATGTTTCATAGTTGCATCTCAACTTCCCTTTTGCATGTAAAATCTTCTGGTAATGCTGTTCAAACTCTGAGGACTGTTTTGTTTGGATTTGTTTATGTCGTGGTTCATTCTGTCAGCATGCTAGTGTTTACAGAGGCCCTGCCTGCATTTTGCATAGATCTAAATAGTCTGTATTAGAGGTGTTAATGCAGCCATTTTTGTGTGTGCAGTTGTTTTTTCAGTGTGTAGGTGCACTCTTTCCTTTAAAGAGGGCGTTTGAATATAGAGCATCAAAGGTGGCTCAGGGAAAACTTTTTGACTATGTTCACACAGTAACAGAACGCAGTTGCCAGCCCTGTTTGGATAGCTAAATGAGGTTATGTGGTTATGGGTATATTGCTGATCAAGGTTTTTTATTGGCCAACGATGATACCAATATCTAGAAAGAAGGTTGGCCAATCACTTATAGTATAGTGGAGCTGTGTATATATGATGATAATTATTTTTAGGAATAATTATAAGGAAAAAAGAGAGAAAAAGACAAAATTTAAAGTACCGGGTGATAACAAGGGAGACATGCACAAAATAACTGCAATAAAAATTTTTTTACTAAATGCACTTTTTTCTGATTTCATTATTTGAAATCAGATTTTTTTTTTCAATTGATAAAGCAGTATTTGACAGAAGGATAAAATCGTTATTGGTCAGTATTGATAATCTCAAAATGGACAAAATGTTTGCTGATTAATTGTGTGTAAGAGAAAGATTGAAATACACTCTTCAAAAGTTTGGGGTTAGTAAGTTTTTTTTTTTTATTGGATATAGAATAGAATATAGCTAAGATGCATTAAATTAATCAGAAGTAACACTAAAGACATTTATAATGTTACAAAAGTTGTTACAAAAATTTTTACATAATGTTTAATTTCTGTTTCAAATAAATGCTGTTCCACATTAATTTCTTCTGTTACTTTCGGTAACAGAACTTACGTTCATCAGATCAAAAAAACGTGTCATGTTTCCACAAAAATATGAAGTAGCACAACTGTTTTAAGATTAATAATAAGAAGAAATGTTTCTTGTGCACCAAATCAGCATATTAGAATTATTTTCGAAGGATCATCAAGACTGGAGTAATGGTTGTACTTTTGAAGAAACTTCTTTCAAAAACATTTTTAAAAAATCTTACAGACTCTGACATTTTGAAGAGTAGTGTATGAGTTGGGGGGTGTAACATAGAGATATAAGTGGTGCAGTAGAGTATGAATTTTGGAAGCATGTTGAATGAAATGGGTCTCACTCTGCACTTCACTGTATGAAATACATGATTAAAGGGGTCATATGACGTTGCTAAAAAAGAACATTATTTTGTGTATTTGGTGTAATGAAATGTGTTTATGCGGTTTAAGGTTAAAAAACACATTATTTTCCACATACTGTATATTATTGTTTCTCCTCTATGCCCCGCCTTTCTGAAACGTGTTGAATTTTACAAGGCTTATCGTTCTGAAAAGCGAGGTGTATCCTGATTGGCCAGATATCTAGCACGGTGTGATTGGCCGAATTCCTCAAGCGTGTGACGGAAATGTTACGTCTCTTACCATACTGTGATGCCGTGTCCCGGTGCGACGAGACAAAACCAATAAAAGCCATTATAAACGATGGAATTTGTTGCATCCAGTGGGGACATAATTACTGATTATAATGACTTATACTGTCTTTTTATGCATTGTGTTGCATTGCGCCGCGTAAACATAAAACTATGTCTGCATTTGTGATTGGAGAAATGGCAAACAAATAGCACTGCTCTACACTGCTCAAAACTCACGTTTTAATCATCAGTGGCAAATCCTGAACCAAACAAAGTAGTTTCGCTTTCACAACGAAACACAGCGTCTTCACGACATGGCAGCGGCGGTAACAATACTACAGCGAGAATCAAAGTTAATCCTCCTTTATTTGCGTGAAAATTTGGGCGGTGTTGTGCAAATCTTCCCACACAGTGACGTAGACATGTGGGGGTGTGTTTAAACGAGGCGTTAATGTTGTGTTACCATAGAGATCACAAACAGCACTGAGCCGGCACTGATTAATGTTTTATGTGTTGCTTTTCAGGTTTTAAGCAGCATTAAAGCAGCTAAAGGTCAGGCCAATGATGGACTGTCATCAGCATTATTGTTGGTGCATCTGGACTCAGCCAAAAATCTGCCAGTGAGCATTAACACATACATACACACATACACACCTACAATAGCTTTCTTACTTCCTTATTTTTCTGTGCTCCACCTTCCCTCTTTCATCAGGTATCACTTCTACTACTACACTTGCCTTGCCTTTTCTCCTTTCATTCTCTGTTTCTTTCTGTTGTCCCACTCTGGTTTCCTGTCGCTCTGGGTAAAGAGTGTTTTTGAGGGACACGTGGGCAGTGGGTTTCTGAGAGAGCGCCGCTCTGCCGGGCTGGTGTTCTGTGAAAACACTTCTGCCCTCTACAGGACAATGTTTGTGAGTCACTCTGCTGGCATTACCATTAGATAGGTCTGCTTGCATTTTACCTGCATTCGGTGCATTAACACCTGGTTATTTCATTTACAAATGTTTCATAGTTGCATCTCAACTTCCCTTTTGCATGTAAAATCTTCTGGTAATGCTGTTCAAACTCTGAGGACTGTTTTGTTTGGATTTGTTTATGTCGTGGTTCATTCTGTCAGCATGCTAGTGTTTACAGAGGCCCTGCCTGCATTTTGCATAGATCTAAATAGTCTGTATTAGAGGTGTTAATGCAGCCATTTTTGTGTGTGCAGTTGTTTTTTCAGTGTGTAGGTGCACTCTTTCCTTTAAAGAGGGCGTTTGAATATAGAGCATCAAAGGTGGCTCAGGGAAAACTTTTTGACTATGTTCACACAGTAACAGAACGCAGTTGCCAGCCCTGTTTGGATAGCTAAATGAGGTTATGTGGTTATGGGTATATTGCTGATCAAGGTTTTTTATTGGCCAACGATGATACCAATATCTAGAAAGAAGGTTGGCCAATCACTTATAGTATAGTGGAGCTGTGTATATATGATGATAAACTTTTTTTAGGAATAATTATAAGGAAAAAAGAGAGAAAAAGACAAAATTTAAAGTACCGGGTGATAACAAGGGAGACATGCACAAAATAACTGCAATAAAAATTTTTTTACTAAATGCAATTTTTTCTGATTTCATTATTTGAAATCAGATTTTTTTTTTTCAATTGATAAAGCAGTATTTGACAGAAGGATAAAATCGTTATTGGTCAGTATTGATAATCTCAAAATGGACAAAATGTTTGCTGATTAATTGTGTGTAAGAGAAAGATTGAAATACACTCTTCAAAAGTTTGGGGTTAGTAAGTTTTTTTTTTTTATTGGATATAGAATAGAATATAGCTAAGATGCATTAAATTAATCAGAAGTAACACTAAAGACATTTATAATGTTACAAAAGTTGTTACAAAAATTTTTACATAATGTTTAATTTCTGTTTCAAATAAATGCTGTTCCACATTAATTTCTTCTGTTACTTTCGGTAACAGAACTTACGTTCATCAGATCAAAAAAACGTGTCATGTTTCCACAAAAATATGAAGTAGCACAACTGTTTTAAGATTAATAATAAGAAGAAATGTTTCTTGTGCACCAAATCAGCATATTAGAATTATTTTCGAAGGATCATCAAGACTGGAGTAATGGTTGTACTTTTGAAGAAACTTCTTTCAAAAACATTTTTAAAAAATCTTACAGACTCTGACATTTTGAAGAGTAGTGTATGAGTTGGGGGGTGTAACATAGAGATATAAGTGGTGCAGTAGAGTATGAATTTTGGAAGCATGTTGAATGAAATGGGTCTCACTCTGCACTTCACTGTATGAAATACATGATTAAAGGGGTCATATGACGTTGCTAAAAAAGAACATTATTTTGTGTATTTGGTGTAATGAAATGTGTTTATGCGGTTTAAGGTTAAAAAACACATTATTTTCCACATACTGTATATTATTGTTTCTCCTCTATGCCCCGCCTTTCTGAAACGTGTTGAATTTTACAAGGCTTATCGTTCTGAAAAGCGAGGTGTATCCTGATTGGCCAGATATCTAGCACGGTGTGATTGGCCGAATTCCTCAAGCGTGTGACGGAAATGTTACGTCTCTTACCATACTGTGATGCCGTGTCCCGGTGCGACGAGACAAAACCAATAAAAGCCATTATAAACGATGGAATTTGTTGCATCCAGTGGGGACATAATTACTGATTATAATGACTTATACTGTCTTTTTATGCATTGTGTTGCATTGCGCCGCGTAAACATAAAACTATGTCTGCATTTGTGATTGGAGAAATGGCAAACTAGCACTGCTCTACACTGCTCAAAACTCACGTTTTAATCATCAGTGGCAAATCCTGAACCAAACAAAGTAGTTTCGCTTTCACAACGAAACACAGCATCTTCACGACATGGCAGCGGCGGTAACAATACTACAGCGAGAATCAAAGTTAATCCTCCTTTATTTGCGTGAAAATTTGGGCGGTGTTGTGCAAATCTTCCCACACAGTGACGTAGACATGTGGGGGTGTGTTTAAACGAGGCGTTTTAGGAGGGCGTGGACGAGTCTTAACTTTTATAAAGAATGTCTCTTTGGGTTTGAGACTTTAGTCTTTGCAACTTTAATGAACTTATCTATTCACAAACAGCTTGTAACAGTCCAAAGAGAAAGGAAGACTTGAAATCGCATCATATGACCCCTTTAAGCAATGTCACACAAACAAGAGTGCTGTTCATCATGGCTGTGATCCAGGATAATCACGAATGTGATATCGCTTTTATACAACAGTTTATAAATTATTTATACATACAGATTAAACATACTATTTTAGACGTAATATTAGGCAGCTACTTTGTTTTTGCTTTGCACAACAAGTTCCACACAAAAACAGATTCAACTGTCATGTGTCAAACAAACGGGGTGCTGATCCAAAGCATGAAAAGCTCCAGTGCAGTTATTAAATATCAGCACATTTGGAACGCCAATCAAATTCAAGGACTGCAACTGTTGTATAAATGTTACTGTATCAGCCCATGCCTCATTTTATAATTTTCATCTGTCACTGAAAGTGTTTAAGTAAATTTAAGCGCCTTGCAGTGCCCATGACATGGTGTGATATGTTTTGCAATCAGATATGTTGCGGGTTGATTTGCAGTGAAGTGTGGGTTGGACTGATTCTCTTTGGATTGCCTTGTCTATATTTCTCTTTCATGTTTCTTTTTATCATTCTTTCTTCATCACTGTCCTTGACACCTGAATTGTGTCCTCTCATGTGCTCACTCTCCAGGCATCACTAATCAAACGCAAATGAATAAAAATATGATGGTGTGTTCTGCTAGGGTTGTTTCATCATTTGAACAATCATACGGATAAAATACAATGAAGCCTCCTCTTTTCTCATATTCATCAAATGAACCATGCATTAATTCCATAATCATTCATTTTGTTGTGTGTGATTGAGAGAGTACTTAAGGATGTCTATGTGTTTTTGTGCAATTATGAATTTAACGCTGCATGCCATCCTCCTAATAATCCTGCCTGTATTTGTATTTGTTTGTGTGTGCGCGTGTGTGTCTCGTCCTTTTCTGCTTGGGGAAATAAGCGCAATCCTTTAGAATTCAACAATGCAGGTCTGAAGAAGGGTACAGTCAATAAAGCACTAAAGGTAACACAACCAGTTTTCTAACAATTTCCACACACATACAGTATAGACAGATGTAGAAGGACTTGGCAAGGTTGTTTATGTCGATTTAAGATCTGCAGCAGGTACCATGTGTGCTGTTTGTGTGCTTTGATTAACCGCATGCAGACCTGCGTGTGCATCTGACTGTCTGAAACACACTGAATTCAGACTCTGAATGTCACAGAGACTATTTCTCATGTGTAAATCTCAGCCAGCTTTCCAATCTCATTTTCCCAATTCTGAATTGATGTCATTTAATTCAAGTAATATATGAATCAAAATTATACACACAATTGTACAGAAATGCAACATATAAGCCCTTGTTTGAATCCAACACGTTTTAGGTTTAATGTCCTGATATTGATATAGTACATGGCATTCATAAGGGGAAATAAATTAAATATTTTTGAATATTTTCAACTTTCTATCTATTGGAATATTTCCAACTTTATAAGTCTACCACATCGGAACTAAATCTGTAGCATGCTGTCTATTATCAGGACTAATAATTTCAACAAGTTTTAACAATAATAATTTTAGCCTGTATTGCAGAGTAAAAATTCTTGTTAATTGATTTTAAATTGCCCCTTTTGTTTAAATGTGCAAGTGCATTAGCTGGACCAGCCTAATATATTGTGATTTGAACAAAAGAAGCAGAATTTAAAGTACCATTTAATTAGATTATAGTGCTAATTCAAAATATGTTATTAAAACATAATCTTGAAAATCAGTTTTGTCGATTTTGGACTTTTCCCATTCAAGTAAATAGGGCCTATGTTTGTATGCTTATAAGCTACATAAACCGTAAACAGCTCATATGCAAGCATATGAAATGTTTAAATTTGGTTATGCTTATAATATGATAATCACATAGTTTAAACATTTATTCACAGTGCTGCCTGCTCAGCTTTCCATGTAACTCTGTGGTAATCGACAGCATGCCAGGTTAGGTTCATAGTCATTCAGATCTAGATGGGAGTAAATATGATATGGTTACTACTAAAGTATCATTTCAGGTCATTAGTGTGCAAATATCTACTGTACTGTACATTCTTATCATGTTTGAGATGACACTATTATTGTTCTATTTCAATCCTCTTGTTATTTGCTTTAGTAAGTGTGTGGTTAAGGTTGATAATGTTATTTGTACAGTATGTGTTTAATATGGAAGGGTTGTTAATAACAATTTGTATGCTCTTTAGTCTGGTAAAAAGGTCGCCAGTGTGCCCAGTCCATTCGTCCAGTTTACTGTGGGACACAAATCCTTTGAGAGCAAGGTAAACACTGACACACACAAGTGATTGCTCTTTATTTAATCTGCCTTGAAATGTAGACGTGCATAACATGTTGTGTTATTCTTACAGGTGCAAATTTAAACATGAAAAAAGGGTTTTGCATGAAAAGAGATAAATTAATATAAATTCTTAGATGTTTAGCTGTCATCGTATAACGTATTTCTGTATTTCACTGCAAAAGGTGATGCTGCAAGTTTGCTTAAGTCAGACTTTACTTTTTAGCCTTTGTGTTTTCACTGTTATTAAAAAAAATTATGTTGAAATGTTTTACATTCTTTCCATGTTACAGACAAGATATAAAACCAATGAGCCCGTTTGGGAGGAGGCCTTCACATTCCTGATCCACAATCCAAAGTGTCAAGAACTTGAAGTGGAGGTAAAGCACAAACATGCACTCACATGCACATGGGGTGTTGTGAATTAATGGTTAAAAATTTGTGCTGGTCCCTGAAAGGTGAAAGATTTGAACACTGCAAGGGGGAGCAAATACTGTTCTTGATATTGTAGGAAAGTATGACAATAATTACAAACCCACTTTTTGTCTTATACTTTTTTAATATTTATTTTTATGTGTATTTATTTATTTCTGGAAAAGAACAAAATCATAGAAATCAAGGGATTAATAAAAATTGACTCAATAGTACCCTATTCATAGAAAGTATATACATATTATCTAGAAGTTGCAGTGTTTACAACACAGCGGTGTGTCTCATACGAGTCTGTGTGTGTGTGTGTGTGTGTGTGTGTGTGTGCAGGTAAAGGATGAGAAGCACGAGTGTTCCCTAGGGACGTTTTCTCTTCCTCTGTCAAAGATGCTGCAGGAGGATCAGATGATTATCAGTCAGCAATTCCCACTCAAGAACTCAGGACCCGGTGCTACGCTTAAGATGAAGATGGCACTTAGGGTAACACACATGCATAAACCTCTCACACACACACACACTAAATAATTTAATGGAAAGGAAAGGAAAACGCAAAACAGAAGCACTAACTGAAATTAAATAAAAATAAATATAAACAATAAATAATTTTGTTTTTGTCTTTCATCAAGCGAAATATCTAAATTGCTCTTTGTATTGATGTACGGAGTACAAATTCACAATTGAAGTAAAATGTAAAAGTACAGTATTTAAAATTTCACATATCAGGTTTTGCAAATCTTCAAATCAGGTGTCTTAACCATTGTACATGTAATTAGCTCTATCAATGTCGTGTAGATTCCTCAACTATAAAACCTTAAATTAAAACTTAAATTAAGATAAATATAACAAAAAATAATATGTTTACTAAATGAGATAAAAACTAAAGTGGCCACAGCATTGTTGAAAACAATTCAAACTTAGTGCTTTTCACTATATA